GGTCATTTTAGATCATTTTAGGTCATTCCTTCTTTTAGGCTGTGTTCATAATGTATACCACAGAGGGGGCAGGTGAAATTTGGGGGGATCGTAGATAGATAGATAGATAGATAAACCTTTATTAACTTATACCGCTCAGGGTAGCCCCATCAGATGCAAAAAGCAATCTGTTATCAATGGGAGCCCTGAGCATAACAATATAAACTACAATATAATATATATATGCATTGTACATTATAAGTATCACTAGAAATATGAAGATAGATAGATAGAAACTATTAATGGTAAAAAGATATAAAAATTTGCATAAATACTAAATTCTATTTGGATAATTCATTAAAAAGAGTGAAACCATAGTAGTAAAAAGATCTTTTTGCGATCTCGGTCCTCACAGCAGGTGGATGTAGTAAATTGCTTTGTCTAGTAGCACGCGCATGGATTGCACTATTACGCTTAAAATACTCTTTAAAGTATTGGGGACAGTGACCTGACAGGCATTTCTTTACAAGTTTAAAAACTAATTTGCGTCTGCGCTCCTCTAACGTGGGCCACTTCAAARAGTCAATCGCTGGACTGCTGCGCTCAGATCTTACAACTATTCTAGCAGCACGGTTTTGGAGGGCCTGCAGACTATGTTTGTGACCCTCCCCACAGCAGCCCCACACGCTTACACAATATTCTAAAATTGGCCTAATAAGACTGCAATACACTACATTTGCGCTTTCTGTAGTAAGGTTTCTACGAAGTCTACTGAGCATTCCTACCCGTTTTCCTGCCTTCGAAATAAGGTGCTTTATTTGCTCATTCCAGCTAAGGCGGTCATCAAAAACTATACCAAGATAAGTGAAGTGAAAAACSCGCTTAATAGCAGTGTTATTTATAGTAACTGAAAATTGATTCACGGCAGATAATCTAGGCGCAGTTCCAAAAAGCATAGCTTCCGACTTGAGCGTATTTTTAGAAATGCCTACGCTACTTTGCCCCTGCCCGGCGACCTCTTTATTGAATATGACTCTTAGYATTATTCCCAAAATAGGTTGAGTATTTTTGGATGTGAAAGTGACCTTTCCCCCCCCCCCCCCCCTCCTCCCTCCCTCCCAGCAAGTGGCAAGCCATCCAGTGACAGGCAGTAGATCCGGGGGT